TGACCAGAAATCAAACTGGCAACCTTTCACTTTGTGGGATGACGCCCAACCCACTGAGCCACACTGGTCAGGGCTATCCTTTGATGTTTTAAATGTCTTCATAATAGACACATAGCTCAATGAATTACTAGTATCACGACCCAATACTGTTAATTCCACCTTAAATAAAACTTGTTCTGTGATACAGGACTTCACCAACAATCCTCAGTGCATCATACCTCAAAGATAGCATCAAAGAGCAATGTTTCCATTTGTAGAGAAGAATAACATTTTGTAAATAACTTATGACTAATAATGTATGCAAATTTCTGGCAAAACTGGAGGAAAAATGGTTTATTCAATGTCCGGGTAAAAGAAGTTGAAATTACATCTGTACTTCATAACACACATAAAGTATATACCAGAAGAATGAGAGAGAGAGAGGAGAGACAGATTTTTGAAAGCTTGAACAAAATTATCTTAAAATGCTGGGGTAGGAAAAGGCTGCCTCAGCATGACCTAAAACGTAGAAAACCTAAATAGAAAGAGTGAGTGACATGACTATCTACATTTTTAGATAGTCATATCACAAAAACACAATGAGTAAAGTTAAATGAGGTAAGATGTGCATGGAAAGGTACACATGATACATTTAAGTGAAATAAAGTTGTAAAACAGAACCATAATCATACAAGGACTCTGAGTTTATTTTCTGATAAAAATGTGTATATGTATATCATTTATGTTTGTATATACATAGAACATATTACACTGATAATAGTAACTGTATGGATGGGTAAGCTGAGGACAGTTTTATGCTTTAATTTATATGTTTTAATTTTAAATAGGCATGATTTACTTTTATAGTTTAAGGAAACATAATAAAGATTAAAATAAAATAGAGTTCATTGTGAAAAATAACCTCACAGAGTGCTGGTAACTCCCAAACCCATCTCATACTATGCTCAGTTGGATGTGTAATCCTGTCCACCAATGCACAGGGTAAAATATAGCCTTCCTCCTCAGACAACAATTTATCCCCTTTCTAAGTTGATAAAAATATATCTGGGACTTCTATCAATAGTTTTAAAATAAGTGAAAAGCAATTCCATGGTGTTACTAATACCTTAATAACTTCCCCAAATATGACCACATCCACCTAAACAAATGTAACTATATATGTGTGGCATTCATAAGATATGACAATTATAACATAAAGGTTTTAACCTTTATACAAAAAAAAATCAACCAGAATTTGTTGAACTTCCATAAGTGACATGGTGTAATTTTAATACTTCCAATTTTGGCTACAGATTACATGGACCAGGTTAACAAGGGGTGATAACTGATGAGGTTATATGATAACTGATTATAAAGAATCATTCTTCAAGTCACTTTGAATGGATTGAAGATTTATAAAATACTATAAATATTATTTATTTCATTTGTCTTGCCTTATAGATTTATAAAATACTATAAATATTATTTATTTCATTTGTCTTGCCTTCTCTTTTCTAATATCAAAAGAGAATCCACTTTACTCATTTTAAATGATAGAAGAAAGTAAAAATTAAGAGTTTTGTTTTATGGATCCATTTCATTATGTCTAGATTTTTGTTATAGCTTATTGAAAGAAAGACAAAAATTAGCATGAGCATAAGCTAAATCACATTTTAGAAAAGAGAAGACTGAAGTGAAAAAGTAAAGATAAAGAGGTGACAGTTCATTTTGCTTGGATTTGAAAAATTTTAGTAACAAGTTATCATTACTCATAAAACCAAAAAAAAAAAAAAATCCAGAAAAAGAAAGATTAATCAACAGGCAGATGAGAATGCATTACAAATACTAGAGATTTCTGCTGTTATAAAAGTATACATCTCCCAAACTCTGTATGAAGGGTAATTGATAATACAACTTAATAGTCATAAAACAACCATCCACTTATGCTCTGACTTTGGCAAAGGGGATCCTAGGCATACAAATGTATAATTGTGTTCAGACAGAAATGTGCTCAAGCTCTTGAGTACAAGCATTCTATTTCAACTACAAGCCAATTCCTACGGCATAGTTACACTAGGCTCTCCTACTTTGATGGCACTAACAGCTAGCAAAGTCAGCTTGACCTGATTTCCCAAGCACTAAATAAACAATCTTCTGATGATAATTTTGTTTCTGATGTAGACTGATTTGAAGAAAATGTTCTGAGCAGTCAATATTAGCACTTTGGTCTACATGGTAATTATGTTTCCTATAATAACATAAATTATCGTTCTGTTTTTTAATTTCAAAAATAAATTCCACCCCATTTGATAGCATGTTATGCCTTCTGTGAACCTAGAAATCCTCAATAAACACAAGGCTTTATGCCCAAAGATGCTTTTATTACATCTACACTTTCATTTTTTAAAATGTAAATGGTCAACAGGGCCAGAGAGGTATACTTAGCTCACTATCAATGATGGATTGAATTATAAGTACACGAACCTGTCAGGGCAGTTACTCTTCTAATAAAACTTACTTTCCTCTCCTTCCAATTCCCCTCCCCAATCCCTATCCCCAAACACAACGTTGCCCAGCCCTTAACACAAGGACTGAAACCCAATGGAGAGGGTCAAGTGTGGACGCATACCACTCTGAAAGTAAATATCCGTTATTCTGATTAATACCACACCCTCAGGGCAGGGCAGACCAGAGGCCAACATCCTAGTTCTGCACCCCTGGACAGCAGCAAGATAGTTCTGGTGTAAAGATGAGGCAGAAACATAGTTTAAACAGGGAATCCAGAAGAAACCTTCAGCCTGGATGTGATCTAAAATGAGTATGAAGAGATAGCATTGAAAATAATCATAAGCCATTCTCAGGGGGACATAGCAGATAAATTACCCTAAGGCACATACACAAAATTTGCCTGAACCACATCAATTTACTACACTAACATTTGGAATGTGTTTTTAAAGGCAAGTAAAATATGAATTAATAAAAGAAAACTAGTTTCCTAAGCCATGAAATATGTTTGGGGCAGCAATTTATAATAGAACTGTATTCCATCTTTGTAAAATTGACTTTGAACACTTTTGACTGAAATAGAACACTTACATTTCTAAAATCATGACATGAGAACAAAACCCAAATAGTAAGATATTAGAAACCTCTGAGTTTCTAATTTCCTCAGTTTCCCAGGAGCTGCCATCCTCTCTAAAGAGAAGTCATGCCCTGGCTCATGTGGCTCAGTGGATTGATTGCTCACCTGTGAACCAAAGGGTCATCATTTCAATTCCCAGTCAGGGCATATGCCTGGGTTGCTGGCTGGGTCCCCAGTGTGGACGGGGGGAGGGGCACATGGGAGGCAACCACACATTGATGTTTCTCTTCCTCTCTTTCTCGTTCCCTTCCCTTCTCTCTAAAAATAAATAAATACAATCTTTTTAAAAAATTAAAAATAAAGAGAAGTCACTACCTCCTCCCTGTTCCCCTGAGCTGCCACCACAATCATGGCCACAAGCCTAGAACTGTGACATTCCCAAAATGATTGAGTGCCAACTCCCCATGTGAAAACATGGAGACATCATCATTTGATTTGACTGACCCTGTGGCCTGGCTAAACCAGGCAGTGACACATGTGTCTCACATAACACTTCCCAAAGTCTGGGTGATTTGGTTCTAAATAATAGCAAGCATGGAACAACGAAGTACATGCAGGGCACATAGGGCTGTGATACACTAAGAGTAATTCCTTCTCAGGCTGTTCAACAGGGTTCCAAAAACTCTTGACACTCAGTCACACCCAGGGTCACCATATTACCACAGCAACGACCATTATTATTCTATGTTAAATGCCTGCTGATGCATGATCTTGTATCATGGGAATTAAATACTCACTCCAAAAGACAGAAACACAGAGAAACTACTGCCAATTATCTCCCAGAAGGAGGAAATAGATAGACTTGCAAGAGAGGGAGATGGAAGAATGGGAAGGGAGTGGAAGAGACAAAGGACTTACAAGAGCACAGGGACCGCTGCTCAGGCCTGTGCCCCTGCCTCATGGTGGCTTTTTATTGCTCAAAGTTAACCTCATTTTCACCCCAGGCATGAAAGACATTCACCACCCAAGTTCAACATGGCTTAATGTAAATATTTCATAGATCACCAAACTACAAATTTGGGCAAAGGGACAAGTTTGTTCTCATTGTCTCTAGTATCTCCAATGAATATCATTTAGGAGAAAAATAGAAAAACTTTAAATCAGGCTCTGAAAATTTATCTGCAGTGTTGTCCAATTTTGTATATTGAGTCTATAGGTATATGGATAGTAAAAGTGTCTGGAAGTATATACACTCAGTTTCAATTCTATGCTTCTCTCCCCAGATGCCACAATCCCTTACATCGTTCTCTTTGCAGCCCTCCACTCTTAACTCTGCACCTTCTCTTTGGGAATCACATCCACTCCCAGGTCTTCAATTATCATTCATCCTCTGGTGGCTACTAAATCTTTTATTTGTCTTCTCCTCTGAGCATCTGATCAATGCATTCAAATGATAATAGGGTGCCTCCATATGGATTTGGCATAAGTACCTCAAACTCAATTTTAAATGGATTAGCCTTCTCCTCCCAAATCTTTTCCTCCTACCTAATTAAAACAAGAAAAATGTTAGTTCCCTCACCCCACCCTTAACACTGGTTTCAAATGAGTCCCCACATGTGCATAATTTGGTAGGTTCACCATGCCCAACACCTTTAAGCCAATGAATCCCTGGGTTTTTGTCTACTATAGAGAACATTAGGGTAAGTATATAGAAGCCTGGGTCTTAAACCAGATCATAACTAGACAAAGAATTTTACTCTTTCCTGGTCTCACATATAAAGCAGCATATCTCCGAACTGACTAGGAATATATTGTGTGAGCTGGTAAAATCATGTTTGAGAAAACACTTTGAGTCCTTAGAAATAAAAAATAAGAACTAGTCCTTTGATAAATTATTTTAACAGTTGACTTGCAGGAATGACAGAACTCTACACAATAGTCACTTAATAAGTGTTAACCTTTATTGTTATTTTTAAATGACACTGACACATGGTAAAATGCCCCCAGCAAAACAAAGATCAACCGAAAAAAAAAACTATGACCTGTGCACTCTAGGAAATTAATGGTGCTTGCTTTTCTTAATTAACTGTTATGTGCCAGAAGATTCTAAGTATTTTGCATGTATTACTTCATTTAATCCTCCTGACGAGCCTCACCTTCACCACTTATCTATCATTTCAGAAACAAAACTTCAAACCATCTCATTTTTAATCTAAATATTTTTTTCCATTTAGTATATGCTCTAATCACCTACTTCATTCCCAACACTTTTCTTTTTCAAAAATTTCCAAAAAATTCAATATTCATTTTAGATAAATAAGAACATATTGATAATTTAAAAGTAAAAAGGTAAAAGAACACTCATTATCCTTCCACCCAAAGATAACCACAGTTACTATTTGGGTGTCTATAATTCAGAATTTTTAATGTCTACTTAAACATGTTTTATTATTCTAAAAAAATGAAATTTTACTCTGAATATCACTATCTAACCTGCCTTTCTCACTTAACAATGCATGATGAATATCTTTTCCTGGCAATATGGGTTTAAATCAACACATTTATCATATACCATATGAAAATTCCTAAATTTATTTAACCAATCCAATGTACTAGACACTTGTTCCAATTTTTACTATTTTAGATAGTGCTGGGATGTACAGACCTGTACATGCAGTCTTTGATCAATTTTTAAACTATTTTCTTAGGATAAAGGGTTCACATATTTTAAGGCTTATAATATGTACTACCAAGTGGTCCTCCACAAACTTAGTTCCAATGTAAATTCATTCCCACCACAATTTTGAAAGGGTCCATTTTGCGACACCTTTGTGGATACCGCACAGTAGGTGAGGGAGAGACTTTTATGTGAATTCCAATTATTCCTTCTAGTCAAAAAATATTTAGTGGGCCCTGGCTGGCATAGCTCAGTGGATTGAGCTCAGGCTGTGAACCAAAGCATCGCAGGTTCGATTCCCAGTCAGGGCACATGCCTGGGTTGCAGGCCACGACCCCCAGCAACCACACATTGATGTTTCTCTTTCTCTCTCTTTCTCCCTTCCTTCCCTCTCTAAAAATAAATAAATAAAATCTTTTTAAAAATCTTAAAAAAATCTTCAGTGGTTTTTGTGTTCAGTGGAATAACGTTCAAACAACTCTCCACCAACTGGCTTCACATACCTTTCTAAATTTATTTACTTTCATTCCCTGCATGCTCCACTCTAAGCAGACTAATTTTCTCACTGTCATAGGAAGAGTTCCTACCTCCATGCCTTTCTGACACCCATTTCCCCTCACTCTCATCTCATGGAATACCCTAACTACCTACCCCATTCAGGACTCCTTTTAATTTAAATGGCTGCTTCCTTCATGAATCTGTAGCTATTATATCCTACAGAAGCCGTTGTTTCCTCTGTGCTCTGAGAATGCATATTTGACAATGGGTATACTCTCTAGATATTCTCAGTTATTTTGTTTCTATGTTTCGTATCTTTCCAACTAGGTTATAAACAAAGGGGCAAAGATAGTTTATTTCTTCTTTCTTTTTTTTCTTTCTAGCATTAACACACAATTTTATTGATGATACACAAATGAAGTCAATGCAAATGACAGGAGGGAGCTTACTTAGGATGAATTGGTTCACTGTCACTTATTCAGAAGAAATAGTAAAAATATTTCAATGGAGGCAGTGAGATAAAAAACAACAAACATGTTTTCAGAACATGTAGTGACATTCATTCACCCAGCTTAGACTTAACCAACTCAGATAAATATCAGCATTTATGATACAATATGATATTCATTATTCAAAATCGGTAGCTGGAAGGATTCCTTTACCATATCAACAAGATGGAGAAAAGGAACAGTTTACAAGGTGTGCTGCTTTTAAACTACAAAATCAAGAAGTTATTCCTGGCTGTTTGGGAACATATGCTCAGCCAGTTTAGCCATGAATTTTCCAACTTTTACTTTCACCAAAAAATCATGGTGACTTTCTATCCCCAGAATCTTATCAGCACACACCTGAAATTCTTTTAAAAAGAAAAAAAGTGAACCTTCACTGAAATGATCCTGAGTAGGTTCATTCTCTTCACATTTAAAATTGTCATTTATATTCTCAAATATGACCAGAAGTTTCAGAATAATCTCTTTGTTCTCCTTGTTATTAAAGAGAGGACCCAGTGAAGATGGTACTTGGGCCCTGAGAAGTTCTCTAGTCATGGCTGGATTTTCAGCCAAATTCAAAAGGAGTTTCAAAACCTGAAATTTGGTTTCTTCATTTCCTGCTGAAAATAAACGAAAAAAGTCCGAAATGGAATTAGCAAGCATGTGCTGATACTCATTAGTAACAGTCATATTCGTAAGTAATCTTAGTCCAGCCAGCTGCACAGATGAATTCAAGCGAGAAGTGATTGTGTCATCACACACTTGATTCATGTATATCTTAAGCCTGCGCTGATTTTCAGCATTCACACTCAGGTTATTCAGGACAATTAAAGCCTTTTCCTTAACGATGGGATCCCGAGTATTAAGAATCTTTGCAACAATTGGGAGACCACCCAGATCACGAATAATATCTCTGTTAAATGCATAAGCAGCATTGTTGCCTAGAGCAATTAAAGCTGCTTCAAGAATATAAGGCTTTTCTGACATCTCAACCAAGCAAAGAACTTTTTGCAGCTCTTGAGGGGACAAAATAGTATCATCTGAGTTGGGGGAAGCCCGTTTCTGAACAGCTCGTCGAGCGCGGGTAGCCCTTGCCCTTGCCCTGGCCCTAGCTCTGGTCCCAGCCTCAGTCCCAATCCGGGCCCAAGGTGGGTACCATACTATACCCTTGCTCTCACTGTTGTCATCATCATCATCAGACCAGTCATTGTACCTGGCCCCAGGGCAGTCCCCAACATCATCTACATCCCCAGGCCCACCCTCAGCCATTTTCTCTTTGTTCTGTTTTCTTCCCCAGGCCAGTCTATAAATGCAATAGCAGGCACCAGCCCCGATCACCAGTCCTGCAGTCACCCAGCCTACTTTCCTGGTGTAGCCCATGCAATCGTCCCTGACAATAGTAGGGGCCAAGGAACAGAGTAGTCACTCAGTCTTGGGGAAAACTGTGGGCCTGGGTGCTGGCCTGTAGAGGGATATTGTCTTCAGCCACTTCAAGGCCACAATGCGTGATACTGGAGGTGAACCTAGAGGTGGAGGAAGAAAATGGGATTTGAGTTTCTCTTCTCTTTGTGTTGCCCCATGCAGGGAGTTATACAGAGGGACAGGAGAGTAGTAAATGAGTACTTGGTAAGAAATGTAGATTTTTAATAAACTCTCTCCATCCTCCTCATTTCACCCTCCACCTACTGTCCCCAACCCTACCCTCCCCAAGTCTAGATAAAGGCAATGGAACCCATAGAGTCTCCTGGGTCCTCAGCATGCCAATCTTGGATGTGCCCTAGGGAGTGGCACCCTTGCACTAACCTCCTCCAGACAGGCAGTCTGCCCCTTCTTCCCTCCCCTGGAGTTGTGCCACACCCAATAACCCTTGTGATATACAGAGAGACAGTGAGAACTGAGGGCTTGAAGGATTGACTGTTCATTCCTTGCTTTCCTGATTCACTATCCAGATTGTCAGATTTGTTTAAACTTCTCTATGCCATCCAAAACATGTACATGCCTGCCCCTTCCTTAGCCTGAAATAGGATGGATGTTAGGGAAAAAAAGGTAAGATTTTGGGAGCTAGGCCGATTTCCAAACCCTCCCCCATTACAATCTGCCCCCACAGCCACACCGACCTCTACTGATCTGAGGAAATTCCTCCCTTGCTTCAAGTGGTGCCACCTGCTACAGCAGACCTGCTGGATGACAGATCGAAAACATGGGAACTAAGTACTGTTGAGAGAGGAGGATTATAACCAAACTATCTGATAGGTTTCCCTTCTGTCATTCTTCCCCAGCCCATCCCACCGCGCGCGCGCGCGCGCGCGCGCGCGCACACACACACACACACACACACACACACACACACACCGCATGCCATTTCACCACAGCCCCAAGAATGCAACAAATATACTCAGACTCAGACTAATCTAGATTATTGACATCTTTGGTTTCTCTCTACCCCCACCACCGCCCCTCTTAGGGTACCCAGATGGTCTTACCCTCAAATCGACCTTCACCAATCAGGGTTATTTTCCTTCCTCTTCACTTGCCTGGCGTAGTGCCGCAAACTACGGAAAGACTGGCAACCTGGGAGAGGCTCAGACCCACTAAACACAGAGCCATAGTCAGGAAGATACAGCCACAGTTAGAAAAAGGAAACAGCCGCTACCGAGTATTTGGTGGACGGACCAAGGCCCCAGAACATGAATTTTTTTCCCAATTCTGAGGCCCGGTTGTCAAAGCTTTCCTACCTCTGTTATCCTTCTCAGGATTCTGCTGACACATCACGTTGCACCCCCACCTCCCCCGCCCATGCCCAACCTTTCCCAGTCGGCACTATTCTGGAGAACTGAGAGCTAATACCAAGGCCACAGCTCCCTTTCCGGATTACGGTCTCGGCTCCTAGCAGATTCCCACCTTCTGATCTCTGGCCTGCTCCCCAAACACCTCCCTGCACACCATTTTGCAGCATCGACAGGGGCTGCAGGCGGACCGACATCCTGGAAAGCCGGGGGCGAGTGGGAGAGCCGACAGAGGTGTCTCAGGACCGGCGACGGTCTCCGCCCTACGCCCTGGACCACCCACACTTTACGGAATCTCCCAGGCACTGACCTTCCAGGATCCGGGACAATTTCCTTCTCCCTCTTGTTCTTGCCTCTGTAACAAGTCCGCTATCCCGCAGGGCAGCGGGGAGCTGGTACTCAGACGGAACAACGACCAGAACAAGAGGGACTTCTGCACACGTCAGCTCTTGGTCACGTGATAGCTACGTCATCCCCAAAGTCGGGTCCTCAATTTCCCCTCCCACCAGCAGTGCCGCAGAAGAGGACCCGCCCCCCCCTTCATTTCCTCCCCCTTACCAGGCCTCGTTACTCTTTCTTCTTTGCTAATCCCATCTCCCAGTAGTTGAGTTTGTCTTCCTCTGATTACTAGAAAGGATGGCATCTTCCCTTAGGGCTACTGGCCACTTTTTGAAAAATTTGCTTTTTCCTTCTCTAGCCTCCTGGGACAGCGACCTCTCCTTCCACCTCCCCTCCTCCAAGCTATTAATGTCTACCATTTCCTCTGAAATCTAGTCCCAGATCTAAAACGAAGTAAAAAAAATCAAAAAAGGAGACCTGGAGTGAGAGTGTTTTTTACTTTCTTAATACTTTTTGTTCTCCCCTCTACCAACCCCAGCCTGCATTCTTTTCATGAGAAAGGCTACTTTAAAGCTCTCATTTGAGAATAAAAAAGTGGGAGTTGGAGGCTGATATTGGGTGGATGGCCTCCAAGAGCCCCATATTTTTCCACTTGTGGGGAGTGTTGTACATGCCACTCAAAGCAATCTTAATGTCTTCTAGGGCCTAAGAAATAACACAGCCCTGAATGAGCTAATCAGTATGTCACAGGTGTGCACAGGTAACCAGGTTCTTAGTGATAGAGGACAAAGAATTGAACCGAACACACGAAAGAGGGAAGATTTATTAAGTGATAGTACACTCCACAGGACACGGGAGTGGGCCAACTCTGAGCAGAGAAGGGACACGTGGGCTGGGGGATTCTATTCTTATAGGGCAGGAGCCCCTTCGCTAGTCTTTGGCAAGCTTTTCCTGTGCAGGTACAAGGAGTTTGATTTCAAAGCTACTGCGCATGTGTGGTTTCCCATGATTTTCTTGATTGGCTACTGGAGAAGGGAGTCCCACAATGTTATTTCATTATAATGATATTATAATGAATCAGGGGTAGCGCACAGGCGCATTCTATGATTCAAAGTTATCCCAGAAAACAGGAACAACCCATCTTAGGGGGTCTTTGTCATGTATAGATGTTTTCTACCTCAGCCCTGCGGGGCCTCTGGAGCTTCCTTCCTTACTATCTCCTGCCTCAACTTCCCCCTGAGAGACATGGTTCTCAAAAATCTTTTTGGGGTTGTTGAAGGATGAAGGTCCGTCTTCCATAGCTGCTTCAGGCTTAGATTGGACAGTAGACCCTGCCTATTGAGAACCACGGAACTCTCTCCCTATTCTATCTAGAAGTTGAAGAGGAATTCCTGAGGTCACCGCAGATGCTGCATGTTGGTCAGCTTCGACATCGTTCTTAGGGATTGGTTGGAAACCTTGGAGCGTCATCAGTTTGACGTGGAACTGCTTAAGTCTAGAAGAAACAAATTTAACAAGTAAATTAAATAAGCAAGGTCCTAAAAGTAGTAAAACCAGCAGTGTTATTAAGGGCCCTAAGAGAGGTAATAACCATGTTAAGTCAGGGAACCAGGACGTCAGGGCTTCCTTAATCCCTTGGCCCTGTTGATTATATTTATGTAGCCATTCTGCCTGTTCATAAATTTTCCTTACGTTAGTTTCAATCATTCCAGAGTTATTTACATAGGTGCAGCAGGTTTTATTGATAACAGCACATATCCCTCCTTGTTCTGCTAGAAGATAGTCAAGGGCAAGGCAGTTATCCATGACTACATTTGCCAATGAGTCTACTGATCTTGAGAGTCCAGCTAGAGTACCAGCAGTATCTTTGGAGATTTCTTCTATAATCTTAGTGAGTTCCCTTAGAGTGGCCTCATGATAGGCGAAGCCTCCCCAGGGGGCTACAGCAGCTATAGTGGCAGCAGCTCCAGCTACTACTAGACCAAAAACTCATTTTTTTCTGCTGAGAGATGGACTCCCAGGACCCATGGTTATATTTATAATGGTAAGGTCCTGGGGTGCCAAGGTCCCTAAAGTACAGTCACCCCCATGTTTAGAGTTGCTGAGATGAGTGTAAGCAATAGCTTCTTGAAGTTCTGAATGATCCGTTAGCCAGTTATTGGGAGTCCCACATAGCCAGGCGAGCCCCGGGGGTGCTGCAATAACTGTGGCATTAGTGGAGTTATATTTGTTAAGGAGGGCATATGGCAAGGGGGAAAGGCAGTCCTTAAAAGGGCCTAAGTTATTTCCCTGATCTTTCCCCCCTGCAGGAGGTGGTAGAAATTTTGCTAATACTCCTTGAAGAGATTGGTTTAATTCCAAGTAACACATTTAGAAGTATCGTTTGTATCTGCATTGTGAGTTTTGTCAAAGCAGCAATGGGTACTATTAGGAATACAGTTAGAATCATAATTCGGGTAGCATACTATATGTGACCAATTTAAAGGTTTGAAAATTTCTTCCTCAGAAAGATTCTCTAGAATGCTAGAACTTGAAAGAGAAGCCAGGGCTTGAAATGGGTCAATGGCCCTTGTATGAGTATTATTATAACATGGGGTGCATCTCATCGTACTGTCGCACTTAAAAGAGGTGCTGGAGTAATTAAATGGCTTTAATTCTAGTGGGGTCATATGGAAACACAAAGGAGGATTTCTCTCCCATCTGACTCTTAAAGAAAAAGAGGAACACGTGTAATTGACAGAGGAATGCAAAGCACTGATTAAGGATTCATTAGCTATTGGGTAGGCTTTTATATGAGTATTATATCTGGAAGGAGTTTCCGGGTTAGGATGACATATCCAACATTGGGCCAGGTTTTCTCCTGCTGCTAAGGTTTGAGAAGCATTCACTAGAAAATTTTCATCCAATTCTGTTATACAGGGTGCAGGCGAGTAGAGAATGGTTAATAGAAACAACAAAGACATTTTCATTTTAGACAATCCACCCAGATATGATTCCACCCAGAAGGAAGTAAGCAAGCTTTTATATGAAGCAGAGGACCAGTACGAATAGGAAGTTTTCAAGAAGTGCAACTATCCAGAACAATGGTGATTTTAGTGCACTGTTATTGGTTATTACTTATCTTTTTAGGGCTTCCTCCTTTTGAACAGGAACCTGAGGTCCTCCAGTGGCTCGCAGGTATAGTCTGGGCTTTGGGTCTCCAGCCGGTCCTGAGTCAGATTGGGATCCGTGGGGGCTAGTTTTACCCTGGAAATATGAACCCAACTATCGACCCCCTAAGAGTTTCACAGCCATAGGGGTACTCAGGGCTACCTGGTAAGGCCCTTTCCATTTAGGGTTGAGTTGGTCTGCTGGTGATCCCTCCTTCCAGGTTTTAAGGAGTACCCAGTCTCCCGGAGATAGGGCAGTTTGAAAATTCCCTTTTGGGACTGGTAAAACTTTATTTCCATATTCCTGTAAAGCTTTCTGCACTTGCCCTAAGTTTATTATATACTTAATTGCTTAATGGGTTTCTGTATCAAATATTAGATCTAGAGTCAAAAAGAGCCAGGCATACAACATTTCAAATGGACTGAGTTTAGTATTGGCCTTAGGGGAGCCCCTAATTCTCATGAGGGCTATAGGTAGTAACGTAGCCCAGTTTTCAGAAGTCTCTTGACAAAGTTTTGCTAATGTCCTTTTAAAAGTTTGATTTGCTCTTTCTACCTTTCTAGAGGACTGTGGTCTCCAAGCAGAGTGAAGATAATATTTTATGCCTAGAGCTTCAGAAACTGCTTGAGTGATTTTAGAAGTGAAGGATGGCCCATTATCATCTGTAGGGATCATGGAAGACCAAACCTGGGTATTATTTCCTTTAGAAGAGCCTTTACTACTTCTGTGGCCTTCTCTGTCCTTGTCGGAAAGGCCTCAATCCATCCAGTAAAGGTATCTACCAGGACTAGTAAGTATTTGTATCCTTTACAAGGAGGCATTTTGGTAAAATCAATCTGCCAGTTCTCTCCAGGATAGGTCCCTCTTCGCTGAATAGGCTCTATCAGTGGGGGCAGGGATGGCTTTTGCCCAGGGTTGTTATAGGCACAAAGAGTACAAGCCTGGCAAATATTCTTTATGGTAGTAGCTATTCCCCTACCTATGAATAATTTGTTAACCATTGTCATTGTAGCATCCCTCCCAATGTGGAAGGAGTCATGCAAAGCCTTTAAGAACTTCCACTGGGAGGCTTGAGGAAGGAAGAGCCTCTGGCCAATATATATCCAGGGTCCTTCATGGACACCTCCTTGCTTCAAAGCCCAAGATATTTCCTCAGATGTATAGTTGGGCTTGATATCTGAGACATTTACAGAGGGGAATAAAGTCATTTGTCTATCAGTCCCTAGCACTGCTTTCTTTGCTTCTTGGTCTGCTCTCCTATTTCCCTGAGAGATATGGGACATATCCTTTTGGTGGCCTTTGCAATGCATAACTGCCACTTGCTTAGGGAGCCTAACTGCTTCCAATAAATTTAAGATTTCTGGTCCATGTTTAATAGGGGAATTCTTAGTGGTGAGGAGCCCTCTTTCTTTCCATATGGCAGCATGAGCATGCAGAACAAGGAAGGAATATTTGGAGTCTGTATAGATATTGACCCTTCTTCCTTGTCCTAGGATGAGAGCTCGGGTAAGGGCTATAATTTCAGCCTTTTGGGCCGAGGTTGAGGGTGGAAGGGGTTGTGCCTCAATGGTGTTATATAAACTAACTACTGCATATCCTGCTTTTCGCTGCCCCTTCTATACAAAGCTGCTCCCATCAGTGAACCACTCATCATCAGGGTTTTCTAAGGGCTGGTCTAATAAGTCAGTCCTGCTCGATTGAGTAAGACTAATAACGTCTGAGCAGGAATGGATCAAATCTGGGAACAATTCTATATGCATTAAGGAGGCTGGATTTAGGGTGTTACAGGTCTTTATAGTTACTTCAGGATTGTCTAGAAGAAGGGGCTGATATTTGGTCAGTCTATTTCCTGTTAGCCAAAGGTGCCCTTTCATTTCTAACACCCCTTGTACCTGATGTGGAGTTAAGACTTCTAACTTCTGCCTGAGAGCTAGTTTACTAGCTTCCTTTGCTAGCAT